AAGAACCAATTTCCAGAGTGCTAACCACTCTGCTGGCAAGCCTTCCACATTTAAGACATTTTTAAACTAATAGTTTCAGGTATTTTTATAGTTGAAGTATCATCAAAAGTAACAGGTCATCAAAGTACCCATAGCTGTTTCACACTTACTCCTTTCCTGATCCCTTCTTCCTTCTCAAGAGGAGTTACGTGCACAGTGCACAACATTTTTTCAATATTTTTTATGAATTCAAAAAGCATTCTTCTTTAATTAATGATTATTAATCTATGGTAATTTATCTTTGAAATGCCGCCCATTCAGGGAAGGCAATAACTTGGAATACCTCAAAGGGCTGAAATTGTCTTTCTTGCTGTTCAAGTAATGGATGTGTCCTAGAGGCGATAGGCAGATAGGAGTGAGGGTAATGACAAAACTACCGAAGTAAATCAAAGTACTCAATATTTTTTTTTTTAAACATATATTTCTGATCACAATTTTCAGTTTGGTTCCCTATCATTGTATAGATGTGTATTTTACTCTCAGCCCCTTTGGTGTCAGCACACTATAGTCCCTCTGTAATCAAAAAGACATGATCTGGTGAATATGCATGGGACTGAAGGCAAACCCCACAGCAAAAGCCCAGCATATGTGGTGATACTGGGACGACTGAATCCTGTATCCCCAAAGAGAGTGCAATCCAGACTCCATCTCAATCTGGAATAGGCTTTATCAATTCCACCTGTTGATATTCAGGCAGCAATATTTAAAGGCTATGAGGCATGGGCTCACCCCGGACTGCCTAGTCATTCACATACAGGACTCAAAGGCCAAAGAAAGGTATAGTGAACACTAACTTGTCTCACTAGATGTCAAGAGTTCCCCCCCACAACATAAGATCGAAACAGTATCTCTTCTCTATTGATAAAATCAGTGATAATCTCCTTATACCAAATAGAAACTCCTGGGGTTTCACCATCTCAGTCCCTGCCCCAGTAACACCATCTAAGTGTCAGGCTCCTGTTCCCTGCAGCCTTGCCCTGCCCAGCCACAGGCTCCGCCGAGCTGGAGCCTGACCTGTGGGCTGATGTCCCGGCCCAGCCTCAGCTCGTCCTTATCCCCAGGGAGGTGCCTGATAGTCTGGGCTGGGGGATGCCCCTGGCTGCCCCTGGCCAGCCATGCTCCCTGGCTGGCAGTGGTGGGGTCCACAGCTGCCAGCTCCCTGTCCCCTGGGGTGCAGGTGGTCCTCACTGTGCCTGGATACTCACATATCTGATCCTCCTTGGTGCGTGAGTGAGTACATGCCAGCCTTCACTAATGTATTATGTACTTTGGTCACTAATTAAGACAATTATATCAAGAAAAAGTCTAGAGTTATGCCCATAGGCAACAAGATAGCTGGGAGCTGGTGCAGCTGATGAGGAGACAGGAACTAAACAGACTGTTTCTGGTTTCTCTGGGAAGAAAGGCTTTTATCTGGTTCACTTGTTCATGTTTCTTTAATTTCTCCAGTAAGATCCAAAGCATAAAGAAGACAAATCTTTTCCAAGGACAAGCATAATACCCTTCTTGAGTGCTGAG